TGAGTGGAGTTTTAGGGAGGAGTGAGTGGAGCTTTAGGGAGGAGTGAGTGGGGCTTTAAGGGGGAGCTAGTGGAGCTTTAGGGGGGAGTGAGTGGAGCTTAAGGGAGAAGTGAGTGGAGTTTTATTGGGGAGTGAGTGGAGCTTTAGGGAGCAGTGAGTGGGGCTTTAGGGGGGCGTGAGCGGAGCTTTAGGTAGGGGTGAGTGGAGCTTTAGGGGGAGTGCGTGGAGCTTTAGGGGGGAGTGAGTGGAGCTTTAGAGAAGAGTGAGTGGAGTTTTAGGGAGGAGTGAGTGGGGCTTTAAGTGAAGAGTGAGTGGAGCTTTAGGGAGGAATAAGTGGAGCTTTAGGAAGAAGTGAGTGGGGCTTTAAGTGAAGAGTGAGTGGAGCTTTAGGGACCTACATCGAAACGTTGCTCCTATCCATATATCTTATCCTTTCTTGATTCTTTCACATTACTACAGTTAATTTTTCATTGCATTGTTTGTTGTTTCATGTCTCACTCAACAATATTTCAGTAATATGATGACAGCCTGTAAATAATCAAATCTGGACCAAACAAACCAATGGTTGATATAATGATAAACGGTCCACTCTGGGTACAATTGAATGCAATCAACCAAGTCACTGGGCCTGATCCAAGTTTCCTCTTACAACTGGCAAGTTTCTTGGGACCAATTCCGGATCCCCAACTGAGGATTCATTTGCTGGAATAAATCACAGGAACATCACACACTAACCCCTAATTGACCCTAATTGACCCTAATTGACCCCTGAAACAAAACTAACATGACCCTCCATACTTTAGCAAATTTGATCCCCTGAGCTTACATTATTCACTGAGTGAGAGAGTTGTGTTTGATACTTCTTTAAACAATATAACAGACACCAGGGGGACACCAAGCAAGTTGAAGGGTAATTCTCATAAAGTCTTTGAATGAAAGGGGATCCTTGATATCCTTACTACAGTACTTAAATCTATTTAAATATTAAACTTGTAACCTTTGGGTGGTGAGGGGGGTGAAATGGGGTTTAATGTCGTGTTCAAGATTAATACACTTATATAGCGATGTGCATGCACGTGTGTGTGGCATCTTGTTCTATCCGGACTAATGACGATTTTATAGTGCTTGCCCACTTAGATACCATGCCGCAGTTTAACATGAATACCACACTCAGACACAGTATACTGACTCCGAGCCAACCAGTCCTTGTTTTAGCCCCTTCATGCTGAGCACAAGGCAGGGTAACAACCAGTAAGATCTTTTAATGTCTTTTGGTATGACGCAGCCAGAGATCTAACCCCGAGCCTTCCAATCTCTGGCAGACGCTCTACCACTAGGCCTCAGAGGCAGTCTGTCACCCTGGTAACCTTAGGGTTGTGACACTGACCCATTGACTTTCATGCTCAATTTCGAAAACTGCCTTTCATGATTAAGTGAAAATTGTCATATTGAAATCTTTGACAAAATTAATTTTGAATTCACACCTATTCAACGACTGAATTCTAATATTATAAGGATTAAGTTCAAGGAGTCAAACTTTGGGGGCAATGGATTTTCAGACAAACCTGAACGTGAAGATTTCATTGGCATAATTCAAATACAGGGCCCGAACCCCTAAAAAAGGCTTGTGGTTTGAGCAGGCCCTTCTCATTACGTTGGAGTTGAGCTGTGCCTGATGTGGGAGTTATGTCAAGCTTGCCAGCAAGCCAGGCAGGATTGTTCTAAATTGTCCAGCAATGGTGAACACATGGACAGGACTTCCCTACAACAACCTGTGGATGTGCTGCCACCACTTGCTTGCATCCTCATCAGGCTGATGTATTTACCAGAGGATTTATCTTAGACAAAAGTCAAAAGGCTCCCAAGCTCAAGCACTGTGTGAAACTGTGGCCAAAAACAGCCTCCTGGTGTCCGAAATAGACTTTCATAACAAATTCCTGTGATAAAAACTTAAACAATTGCCAACACACCCATCTATCACCACATCTCAGTCATGACAACCAGGTTTGTGATCTACCCTGTTTAAGATATAGGTAGTCGGTTTCCGAAAACAAAATTCTTTACATTGATATCCCTCTTGTAAAATATTTAACAGATGAATTAACAGAGGAAATTTGGAAAAGTTCATTTACATGTTATCCACTACAAATAGCATTATTTGTACAAAGTGTCATGTGTGCTGATGTATGGTTGAATATGGGTTGTATCTCTTGATTAGTATATTCGGTGCAATTAGACTTGAATTGAGGGGTGGGGCTTTCAGTTGAGTGAATTACTTGTTATGTAATTGATATATAGTTTGTGATCAGATTGATTCAAGCGAGTAGCTTTTGTGTTCAGTGAAAGTGAGGTAGCTTATCAGCAAAGCATTATTAAACATTTGTGATTGTTGTAGAAGGCAGACCCATACTTGCCGTAAAAGGCGACTATGCTTGTCGTAAGAGACGACTAACAGGATTGGGTGGTCAGGCTCACTGACCTGGTTGATGTATGTCATCGTATCCCAATTGCATAGATGGATGCTCATGATGTCAATCACTGGATTGTCTGGTCCAGACTCGATTATTTACAAACCTCCGTTATACAGCTGGAATATTGCTGAGTGTGGTGTTAAACAACAAATAAACAAACAAATGTAGAAGGCAGTGGAGTTTGTAATTTGGTGGTGAAACAGCCCGACTTGTTGCCTCTTCCAGTTGTATCTATGATGCTACTGTGCGTGTGACATTGTACCCATGTCGGGGCTGACCAAAACTGAGATAACGTTGATGGGCCTTCAACTATGTACCACTGTGCAACAACGATGTCTGATGCAGACTTGGAGAATCACACCCCTGGTGACTATGACTGTGTTTTAATAATGCCTTATTGCTTTGCCGACGTTATTGCTAGGATGTCCTTTGATATTATTATGAAAACCGGAATTATGGGTAACGAATTATTTTAATGTAGAATCAAGAAACTCTTTTTAACTGCAGTTTGATTGTTGTGTACCGGGGGTAATCCATTTTAATTGTGCGAGTGGTTTTGAGGTTTTATACCCCTTTGCTTCACCATCACTTGTAGTGAGTGAGTGAGTAAGTTGGGTTTAACGCCGCTTTTAACATTATTCCAGTTATATCACGGCATGTCAGCTTGATGTGGGAGGAAAGCCCGAAGTGATGCAGGTCTCAGACGTTTACCACTTTGGTGAAACCCACGAGCACGGGTATGGTGCTGACAAACCTAGAAACATAATCGGGGTGAACCGGGATTCGAATCCACAATCATAGGTTTCTGGCGTGTCCAGGGGACGTAACTCTGCACAGCGAATCGCGGCGCCTTAGACGACTGGGCCACCCGTGCCCCCCCATCACTTGTAACAAAAGTATGCAGATATTTTTAAAAAGCTTGTAAACTATGAGATAACTTGTAGGAGTCAACAAGGTAGAAATTCTAATGGATACAAAAGGCATACACAATGTTCTTTTGTATCTGAGCTGGAAGCCTTGATGCACATAAACTATTTTGACCTCAACTAAGTTGAGTGATCAAGTATAGCCCGTTTTTTAAAGTTTTTAATACTTAGTTTTATATTATTTCATCTTAAAATACAATGTTAAAATAGGCCTACCTCTGAATTTAAGAAGATAAGAACTTCCACATTTTAACAAAATAACGACTTCATCCCAAATTTGCCAGATAGGAAACTTTCTTTAGAATCCTTGACAAATCCCTGAGACGAGCTGACAAGTTTCTGAGGCAAGCAACTCCCTAGTGTCCCTGAGATGACACTAGTTATAGTGCTGTGTTCACAACTAAGAGGGGTCCAGGTGTCCCTGAGGTTTCTTCCTATAGTATTTGAAATTAGGGACCTCCTAAATTTTCAACCGTTAGGGTTATGACAAGACCGCTTTGACTTTCATGCTAAATTTGAACACTGAGTGAGTTGGAGTATTTCAGCTCTATCCGAATATGATGGAGGTCTTAGACATGTACCACTGAGGTGAAACCACCGAATACATGTTTTGTACTGACAAACAATTCACAATCAGGACAAATCTGGTAACAACGTATTTGGGCACACCTTAGCGAAGCGATTCTGCAAAATTTTGTTTGTTTTTTGCTGTACTCAGCAATATTCTAGCTATATGACTGCTGTCCTTAAATAATCAAGTCTGGACCAGACAATCCAGTGATTGACATCATGAGCATCGATTTACACAATTGGGATATGATGACATGCATCAACCAAGCTAGCCTGACCACCCAATCCCATTAGTCATCTCTTAGGACAAGCATATCTTCACAGGTATCTGCAAATTAAATTGTGATGTCACAGATGAGACAAGGTTACCCATGTTACCGGTTCGAATCCAAGTTGAACCCAATCAAGTTGCATCCACCATTAAGTTTTAGGAGGATCACAAGGAGTACATGGGGTTTTATGCATCCCGCGTTGGGTTTTATACCACGCGTGGCGCAAAAAATCCAATGTTCCCCAAGTGATCCACTACAACGAATTTATCTTACCAACAAGTTTTAATATGACATTGACAAAGAATTAAAACAAATTCAAAATTGATTGAAAACAGCACTTCGATTGAGCGGAGGTTAACTTGTGCTAAGTCACATGACTTTCATTGACTCGGAAAAAGCGTGCAGAAGGGAAAAGGGATTTATTCTGCCTCTCAGAAATCCACTTGCAGCCTGTCGTGCTTGTGGTAGGGGATAAGGGATATATTCCCCCATTGAGAACTTATTTCCCTCCAAGGCTGGATACATAGTATTTTAACAAGATAACATGGACCAATCAGATCTCATCATTTTGACATGGAGGTATGATAAAATCATTTATCAGCAAGGTTAATTAATGCAAGCCTTCTAATCTGTTGCAGGTGCAAATTACCAAAGGTAACTGGATGGGTGACAACCATTTAAGGTCAGCCTGCTCTGTCAATATCGGGGAAAACTGAAAACAAACATTGGAAACCGGTTTCCACCAGTATAGCTGAACATACCTCCGGTGTCCAAGCCAGCTTTAATGAGTTCATCTTTGACCGTCTGCTCCAACTGCTGTTTCTGCTCATCTGGCACATCAGTTCCATCCTTGACTGTATCACCGGCCTTGACTCTGGTCACCCGCACCTTCACCCGGTCATCATCTGCTACATCCCCCTTTGTGCCGGGAGTGTCTGAAACACAAGGCAACACGGTCAATAACTTCACACAGAAAAAAATCAACATTTAGCAACAGCAGTTTTGTTTTGTTTGTTTGTTGTTTAACGCCGCACTCAGCAATATTCCAGCTATATTATGGTGGTCTGTAAATAATCAAGTCTGGATCAGACAGTCCAGTGATTGACATCATGAGTATCGATCCACGCAATTAGGATACGATGACATGCATCAACCAAGTCAGCAAGTCTAACCACCCGATCCCATTAGTCGCCTCATACGACAAGCATAGTTGCCTTTCACGGCAAGCATGGGTTGCTGAAGACCTATTCTAGCCCTGATCTTCACGGGTCAGTCACAGTTGTATGTAACCATCAATAATGATTGTGGGTGGGCAGGGATAGGGAAGGCTGGATTGAAACAGAGATTGAAATTAACCTTGAAAGTGTACTAGCCCAACTGGTGATATCATATAAAAAAAAAACGAATCGCCAAGAACAAGCATGATTTATTTCATGTTAAAACATTTTTCTATCATGACATCATTTCTGGACATTCGAAGATGTGCTCGCACTTTGATAACATCATGTATGGGAAAACGTCATTCTTCAAAGGTAAGTGTCTTGTAAGTTGTTCCCCAAAGAAGTAACTGGACCACGCGGGTAAACGCAGTGGCCAAACAATTGTATCCAAAAGTGAGAGAGTGAGTGAGTGAGTATGGTTTTACGTCACTTTTAGCGATATTCCAGCAATATCACAGCGGGGAACACCAGAAATGGTCTTCACACATTGTACCCATGTCGGGAATCGAACCCAAGTCTTTGGCGGGACAAGCTAATGCTTTAACCACTAGCCTACCCGACTGCCCCAAAAGTTGGAGAGATATGACAATCGGAATCATGAGAAAAGTTAAAGATGATCGACATGAGGATCGAGAGAATATGCGGGATTCAAACATAACCCACCTGTTCATAAAATGGACTTGTCCGACATTTCCGAGGTCGGATTCTATTCAGGGAGTCATCATTAATAAAATTTGGGTAAATATTTTTAAAGCTTGTACATTTCATCAACATCCTTTAAGAGGCTGTACATTATGTTAATATCTCATATAAGAAATAAACAACTCATGGTCGTTGTTTATCGCCAATAAAACACTGCAGGGAAAATAAACCATTCGGGGCTGTGCCTCTCCCAGCAGTGTATTATTGTATGATAAACAACTCCCACTCGTCGTCTATTTCTTTAAAAATATTTGACCTGGTTGACTTCATCAACTTTTTTACCTGTACGAAAAGGAGTGTTTTTATTTTCATTATGCAACAAAACATCCTTCTCCCAAACGGCAATGGATTTCCTCAACCTGGAGTATCCTGACCCAAACTTACTGTCAGTTATTTGAAGCCATTAAGTAATTATTCAAAGGTCAAGACATTTACAAATTGAAGTCACACTGGGCCTTTAAATCGTGTTTTTTTTCAAAGCGTGAATGAAGCCTGTTGTCACAGCCCTGAGTTCTCAGGATAAGAAGCCGTATTAATCACTGTGTGTGACACACGAGGTTCAACAAGATCTACTTCAAGGTCTGTGTAATGTTTATACGGGACAACTGTGCCTGGCCGGATTACACATTCCAGTAAACTTCCTGTTTTTACGCTAGAAATAGATGTAGATTCATCTATTAATCATCCTTCATCTATTGTAGTAGTAAGAAACAAGGAACTAAAGTATGTAAGGCTGGAAAATAAAATAATCGGTTTTCAAGCGATGGCTTTAGAGGGAGTTGGGATTAATGCTGCTCAGAATGTATTTCGGTGAGTAAATCATGGTGTGTCTTTGTCAGCGCAATGAGGGGGTAGAACCAAGGGTGGTAAATTGACAGCCAAGGGATGAGACTCGCACTGGGAATTGTATTGCTAGGACAACAGGGCCAGTTGTACCCGCTCAGCAGTGGAAGCAAAACAACCATGTCGGGAGGGGCGCGGAGTGGAGTGAAGAGGAAGAGGAGTGGGTGAATGACTTGGGTACAATTTAGTATCAGCAATATCTCAGCCCTATTGCAGGAAGGAAGGTGGAGCGAGTGGAGTGGAACAGAGAGGTGTGTGTGAATGATTGGTTACAATTTAGCATCAGCAATATCTCAGCCCTATTGCAGGGAGGAAAGTGGAGAGAAGTACAGAGGTGAGGGGAGAGGAGGAGGAGGAAGGGAGAGGAGTTGGAATGAGAGGAGAGGAGAGGAGCTTATCAGACTACTTGTTATCCCAATGTCTATGTACATATGTCAAAATAGTCATGTTTTGTTTTTCTCTATTTTCACCTTGAATCCAACCCCATATTCACTGTTAGAAATGGTTCACAGTTCCCTAATGCAAACTGTATGGGGTGACTAAATGGCTCATTGCTCAACATACTGATCACTGGTTTATCTGGTCCAGGATAAATTATTAACAGGCCACCATGAAAAAGCTTGAATTTGGGTGATTGTGACATGAAACAAACCTTGGTTCCCCCAACAACATGGACAACTAATAATAATACTTATGAAAATGCTCTTCTATGATTTGAACATATCCCCACAGATCCCTAAAAACACCATGACGACCAACCAATTTAATTGTAATCAGCTGATAGACTAACTGCTTTTTTATTCAGTCCATCATACCAGCACATGTATTTACCAAAAACATAACATGTGTGATAAAGCTGTCATCCTATTTGTTAAATTTCAAAATCCTTTATTATCAAAACTGGTATCTGCACATATTATTGCTTGTACTAACAAAACAAATTTTAAATAAATATCATCTCAAGAAACATGGTACAAATCTGTTGATCAAAGGGGAAAATGAATATTGAAAATGAAAAAAAAAAATAACAAAAACATTATCCTGCTTGAAAAAATTGGTTTCAAAACACATGCTTGCAATCATTCTATTATTGCTCTTTCTCAATAAAAATAAAACCGAACTTCAAGACATCTGCGTCAATTTCGGATTCTGCGCAACAGAGAAAATATTGAGACAGCGGTGAAACACTTGAACACAACAAATTATGACATCTTACAAGTGAACTGTTAACAGGTGGGGATGACGTGGGTTGACACATCTCACACACGTGTGTAAAGTTGCCACAATAACTGACTACTTATCACATACACACACACATTTCATTACCTTGCTTTGTAGTCATGTTGAACATACGCAATGACAAAACACAGCTGGAAATCACAAAATTTTCACTGTTTGTGTACAAAGAAAGTAGAATTCCTTGACATCAGTGGAAATAGCTGTGAAAGAAAAACAGCTGTCATCATTTTGAGAGGAATTTAGGGGTTATGTGTACTTTTCCTCCAAAATTAGAAGTTTAAATTCTCATAAGATATTTCCTTGATTACAGGGAGATATTTAATTGAGTTCTAAGCAGAACATGCATGAGGTGCACAAATTTTGAAACACACTGCCAACTTGGACATATTGTCACCATATTTGTTAACTTTCACAATGATTTCAGAAACATTCCATTAAGATACCACAAACATAATATTGGTATACAGGAATAGAAACAAGGTTTTATTTCACATGACCACAAAAATGATCTGCTTCAACACTGACATCTACAGGATGGTAGGAATGGAGGTGGTGAGGTGAAATTGGGTTTCATGTCACGTCCAAGATTATTGCATTTATATAGCGACATGCATGCCCGTGTGTGTGTGGCTGCTTGTAGTGGTCCGGACTGATGCCAATTTATAGCGCTAGCACACTCAGTTGCCATGCTGTAGTTTAACATGAATACCCCAGTCAGATATAGTATACTCACCCCGAGCCGACCAGTCCTTGTTTTAGCCCCTTAATGCTGAGTGCCAGACAGGGTAACAACAAGTACCATCTTTTTACGTCTTTTGGTATGACGTTGCCGGCTATCAAACCCCAAACCTGGTAAGAACACAGTATACTGACTCCGAGTCAACCTGTCCTTGTTTTAGCCCCTTAATGCTTTGTGCCAGAAAGGGTAACAACAAGTACCATCTTTTTACGTCTTTTCGTATGACATTGCCGGCGATCAAACCCCAAACCTGGTAAGAACATAGGTCAGACTCAGTAACTTAGCTAATTGCATAAGTGAGTTGGTTTTAATGCAGTTTTGAACAGTATTCCAGTTATATCATGGTGTGTCAGCTAAATGTGGGAGAAAAACCTGAAGTGATACAGGCCTCGGATGTTTACAACTTTGATGAAACACACAATTGGTATGCCATGATCATAGGTTTCTGGTGTCACGAGGGTGTGCAACTCTGCAAAGCGAATTACAGCAACTTAGACGACAGGGCCACCTGTGCCCCCTCTACCTAACATAAAGTATCCTCTCTTTATCACCTTGAAATCACTATTTTCAGAATCAGCTTAATGATCTTTTCATGAACAAAACTGGAGAAAAACATCTAAACAAATTAAAGTACCGCAAACATACTAAAATTCCCTACTGAAACATCTTAAATGGCTTAGAAAAAGTTTCAATGTAAAACTGCCCTGACAAGCCATCAAGTTAGAACGTGTAATTGCAGCAATCAAGACATGGCATTTAAACGATGCAAGAAGATTGACATTGGAGTGGTTTTCTTGAAGCTACCCCGTCTGACATGGAGGGGTTGACCTTTCCTTTGACAGCATGTACCTCCACAATACTGTTTTCCACTAAGAAATGAACTTTTTTTAAATGCGACCAATAGAGTTTCAGCATGGTTCAAAATGTTATCTGCAATTGGTACATAGCACACATTTGCCAACGTTTCACACAAATTGTTTCTTGTTAAAGGTGTTTCAAACTGGTGTCCTTAAACTTCGGAAAGAAAGATTGAGAAATAAATATGGTTTACATTTATCCAAAGTATTATTTTGGTTCACCATGAAAATCAATGAGGGATAACAACATACTCCTTAAACGAGTGAGTGAGTGAGCGAGATGGGTTTAACGCCGATTTGAACAGTATTCCAGTTATATTGCCGCGTGTCAGCTTAATATGGGAGGAAAGCCTGAAGTGATGAAGGCCTTAGACATTTACCACTTCGGTGAGGTGAGGTGAAATGGGGTTTAACTTCGCGTCCAAGATTATTGCACTTATATAGCGACGTGCATGTACATGTGTTTGTGTGGCTGCTTGTACTAGTCCGGACTGATGCCGATTTATAGTCCTAGCTCACTGAGATACCATGTCGCAGTTTAACATGAATACCCCACTCAGACACAGTATACTGACTCCGAGCCGACCAGTCCTTGTTTTAGCCCCTTAATGCCGAGCGCCAGACAGGGTAACAACAAGTACCATCTTTTAACGTCTTTTGGTATGACGCCGCCAGGGATCGAACACCGGACCTTCCGCTCTCGGGGCGGACGCTCTACCACTAGACCACGGAGGCGGTCACCACTTCGGTGAAACCCACAAGCAAGGGTATGGTACTGGCAAACTTAGAAACATAATTTGGGTGAACTGGGATTCGAACCCACGAATATAGATATCTGGTGTGCCCAAGACAACTTAGACAGTTAAAGAACACCCGGGTTTTTTTAAGGCATTTGTTAATCTGTCATTGATCTTGTTTTGAACATTATTTAGTCATATCACAGTAGGTAAGCTTAAAGAAAGCGACGCAGGTTTTAAGTAGGTACCACTTTAGCATGTTTAGTGAAACCCACAGGCACGGGTATGGTGCTGAAATAAAGCCTTGAGCATTGGAAAAAAATTAGATTTGGAAACGCAGGATTACCATATGAAGGCTAAATGCTGACAGTGAGGGAAAAAAGAAGTGATTTGTTTTTATATATTTTGATTCATTTTGCCATACCAAACTGTTTTCTAACCCAAGATTTACATTAAACAAACTTCAATCACACAAAATCCACCCTCCTCGTTCACAGGCCTGCATGCAAGAGTTCTTTTAATTTTATCTTGCTTCCACTGCAAAGAAACTTAAACAATTTATTCACCACTTTCAGGAAATTGGCAGGAAGGTTTGGGAGGGTAAGAAACAAATAATTCAATTTTTAAATAAGCAAGGCCTTCATAAAGACAATTCTACTGCTGGGGCATAATTCTTGTATTCCACATGTTCAATTTTACTTCGTTATTTTTACTGATCTTGGTAAGCATGGTAACAAGAAGCGGAATTAAGTGATTTGTTAAATTGAATATAAATTTCATATAATTCACAACAGACAGAATAAACTCAAAGTGGCTTCTAAAATTGGATCATTATAGCCTAAATTTGCTTTGTGGATAAACAGTTGTGTTGATTAATTTATAAATAATTTCATAAAATTAACTCACAACAAAATCCATGTGTATGTGAGCAATTAATTTGAAATTTCATGAATGGTTGAGTTAATCGCCATTGTCCAAAGATATATACATCTATACTACCAAAAGAAAGTTAAGGACCACCTGATTCTTTCACACTACAATAGTTAATCTGTCATGCCATAACAATTTAATAATAGCGGTGAAACGATACATCGGCGCACCAGTGCATCGAAAGTTTTCATGCCATGATACCATACACGATACGTTTGTTTCTGTATCAATACAAGATGATACACTTGCTAAAAGAAATTACTTACTACTTGTAAAATGACACCCTGCAATTTTGTCAGTCAAATATTATGAAACGTGTTGTAATTGGAGTGTCAAGTTTACTACTAGAGGGGCGGTGGGGTAGTCTAGTGGTTAAAGCGTTCGCTCGTCACACCGAAGACCCGTGTTTGATTCCCCACATGGGTACAATGTGTGAAGCCCATTTCTGGTGTCCCCCAGCCGGGATATTGCTGGAATATTGCTAAAAGCGGCGTAAAACCATACTCACTCACTCACTACTAGAAATAGCCGCTATGAACATGTGTCTACAGCTAGCTAAATATGTGTATCGCGATACTTATTGTATCATGACCTATATATCATGATACTTATCATATCGTGACCCTGGTGTATAGTAATAAAAAATCATCGGATTGTCCTGAACTCGTTTTTTTAGTAGTAAAGTAATGACTAATAGTAATAGACTGAAATCAGCCTGTGAAAACCCGTAAAAAAGCTGTACACCCAAAGCAATGTTCACTCATTCCCTCACCAACTTATTCAATCAAATCAACAACAAATTCTTCCCACAGCCAGGGCTTGTGATGTTTCACGTACACATTCCTATCAACGTACTATGTGTTACATTCAACACCTGAAGAGCATTAATAGTCTCAAACAAACCGTAAACGTCTGCACCTAATGTGCCCTAGAGTTGCAAAACAAACCCTCAAACTAACATCTAATGGAGTTTGGGATGATACAACTTTATCAGGGCAAGAAGGAGAGCAAACATTACGACCAAGGTGATGAAAGTATTGAGCGCCCTGTAGACGCACCTTAATTGAGCAACATCACACATTCATAGGAAGATATGTTTGAACTGGACTGAGCAGAGTCAATACATTCCACATCAGGATAAATACTTGCGCAAATCAAAAGTAGTCAAAAGGAGATTTCACTTCCTCATTGTTGGACATGAGGGTTGTTGAATTTGACTTTCTTTTGAAATTTGAAGTTTTTTTATGTAGATGAGATGGATTGGAGATGGCATTTCCACATTCCTGGATGTAAGATGGACATGTGCTCAATGAAACAACAATTGTGACCTACCATGAGATAAGGGACCTTATGGGTGTCAAATCACATTTTGACTTTTCATTATATTTTAAAACGACTGCATCTTCGGAACATAAAAATACAATTCACAAGCTTCAATTCACATTTTTTACAGAGATACATAACAGACATACATCTTCACGGAAGTAAGTTGATGTCAAACATCTTTATGACATCACAGCACAATTGTATCCTAGTACCCATAAGGTCCCTGGAGGGTCATAAATTTTGCTTGTACTGCCCTCTCATAAATGAAGTGAGTGAGAAAGGTTTTAATCCGCTTTTAGTAATATTCCAGCCATATTATGGCAGGGGACACTAGAAATGGGCACTAGATATGGGCACTAGAAATGGGCTTCATCAGGGCTTGATTTAAGGAACTGGGTTTAGCTTGCATCAGATGCATGATGACATGAAAAACCAAGTTGCACAAAACCAAACCAGGTTAAAACATAGGCCAGTCTGTTGCCAGTGTCACATAAATTAATGACTCAATGCTGAAAAATGTAATAGCAACATGTGCACATAATCTTGAAGTACCCACAGTTTGATGATGTCATACCCTAGAAAGCATGACAAATTACACGAAACACAGGGATTAGTGATGTAGTATGGTAAATAAACTGTAGAGGTACTGAGTGTGTTCAAAGATTGATTTTGTGTGGACAAGTAAGCATTAGTCAGACGCAATTTGGTATTTTTTTTAACATGCACCAGGTGCATTTAGACATAAATATAATTCTGTGTTTCATTAGTTTACTATTTACAATCAAGTCATGTTTTCTCGGACAGGGACACGCCACAATGTTTGAAGATAGGGAGTAAATGAGTGAGTAGCGTTTTACGCCAATATTAGCAGGATCAGCAATATTCCAGCAACATCATGGTGAGAGTGAGTGAGTGCGTATGGGTTGACGCCACTTTTAGCAATATTCCAGCAATATCACGGTGGGGGACACCAGAAATGGGCTTCACACATTGTACCCATGTCGGGAATCAAACCCGGGTCTTCGGCGTGATGAGCGAACACTTTAACCACAAGGCTACCCGACCGCCCCTCATGGTCTCTCGTAGGCCAATCAACTTTTCCATAAGACATATCGGAAAGATCTGTGCAAAGATAATAAATCATCCAAAACTGGCTTCCACAGGAGATATTACCTATATTATTAAGTAAGGGGAAACAATGTCTCCTAGTAGATATAGATACAATGAAATTGCATCACAATTTGCTTTGCAGACCATTATGATGTCATCAGTTACCAAGTTTGCAATCAAATGACATCACTGATACACCATTGTGATGTTATCGGTAACCACGTTTGCAATCAAATGACACCACTAAAAGACCATTGTGAACGACGTTATTTTTGAGAGGGGAGTGTCTTTCGCATCAAAAAGCGAGAGAGATAATCAGGTAATCGACATGAGGATTGTGAGAATATGTGGGAAATACCCACCTGTGCATAAAATGTACTTGTCCAACATTGCCAAGGGCAGATTCTATTGAGGGAGTCATCATTATTAAAATATGAGTAAATATTTTCATCATCATCATCATCATCATCATCATCATCCTTAAAGAGGCTGAACATAATGTTCATATCTCACATAAGAAATATTCGACTCGTGGTCATTGTTTATCATACAATAAAACACTGCAGGGAGAATAAACCACTTGGGGTTTGCAGTGTTTTATTGTACGATAAACAACTCCCACTCATCATATATTTCTTAATCGAAAGACACTGGTGAGATTCTCCTTGTATACACTCCTAAAGAGTTCATTGCACTAGGCCCCACATTAACCTGGTCATACCTTTGCTTGTTGTCGGGGTCAGGCTGCCCGGACCTTTTGGTTTTTGTATGTTGGGAGTCCCTCCGCTTTTACTGGTCATCGTTTTCTTATTGAATTGCTCTAGTTCTCTGTCGACATTGTCAATTTCTGAAAGGATAAAGAGATATGTGCTTCATGTGGCAGAGCAGACTTTCACGATTTCATTTATTTTCTAATCTAAGTGAGTGAGTTGGGTTTCACACCATTTGAACAGCATTTATTAACCACTTAGCCACCCTTTGCTCCCTAATCAGGTGTTGTAAGGCCTGACTCCATTGGGCCCCAGGCTTGTTGTAAGGCCTGACTCCCTTGGGCCCCAAACTTGTTTTAAGGCCTGACTCCCTTGGGCCCCAGGCTTGTTGTAAGGCCTGACTCCCTTGGGCCCCAAGTTTTTAATAAGATCTGATTCCCCATGTCCCTTCTATGCCCCTCCTATTGACCAATCAGATTCCTCCTCTCAAAAATGTGATAAAACTGGTCTTACTTCGCAAAGTGCATCAAATCACGTGGGCACCTTGATTAAAAACATTAAAAGATTTGAAAAATATTTGTTGACGACAAGTTGGCGGTACACATACTTTGCAAATCCTGCAATCGACCAAAATCTGCACGTCTGTTTAGGAACCGGATATTGATTTTGTCATGTGATTTTGATTGCACTTTGCATAGACTCGTTTAGTCCAGCCAACATATAACTCCATAATTCCAGCCTAGTTCGACAACGGTGGAGACTGGACTTTCATCGTCAGTTAAGTCCTTTGCCTCAGGAAGATGACTGTGAAACAACTGAAATAATTTTTAAAAATCACTCACTCACTCACTCACTCCTATATGACTATCGTTCCAAATATCGCCTTTATACATGGTATACATTCAACATTAGAGCGAATCTTAAATATGTATCACTTCCCTCAACTACTGCACTTTCTCTCCACCCACACCTAAACTGCACCTAATGGGAAACAAGCAGCCAGGGCAACCTTAAACATTCTTCCCTTTGTGAAACTCTCGGAGGCAATCATTAAAGTGTTTTCTGACATGCACATTCCATGGCTTAGAAGATAAAAGATCCACACTTGCCGCTGAGCCTATAACACAGGCCAGGCTGGAGCACAGTCTACTGTTGTAAAGAGCTGCTGTTCAGTGTTGACAGTTCAACAACAAAAAAGTCATACACAGCTTTATTTATGCATGTTATGTCACCCAAGTCTTGAAAGGAAGTTTGTAAACGTTGAAGGTGGTCCCTGACATGCAAATAAACATACAATAAATATATACTTGAATTGGGGGAAACATCTCAAAATAGTTGCTAAATTCACAGAGATAAAGGGATTAATGGGTACATTTCCTTTTCAACATGACCTCTGAAGCCGACTGCATTATTTTACATGAACACTAATACACTAGAAAAGTGTTTGCAAGTATCTGTACTAGGGCTGGGGTGGGTGAGGTGAGGTAAAATGGAGTTTAACGTCGCGTCCAAGATTATTGCACTTATTTAGCGACGTGCATGCACGTGTGTGTGTGTGTGTGGCTGCTTGTACTAGTCCGGACTGATGCCGATTTATAGTGCTAGCTCACTGAGATACCATGCCGCATTTTAACATGAATATCCAACTCAGACACAGTATACTGACTCCGAGCCGACCAGTCCTTGTTTTAGCCCCTTAATGCCGAGCGCCAGACAGGGTAACAACAAGTACCATCTTTAAACGTCTTTTGGTATGACGCTCTCCGGGCGGACGCTCTACCACTAGACCACGGAGGCGGTCGGGCTGGGGTGGGTAACTCGGGTACTTGGGTAGGGTGGGTACCAAGAAGGACCTGGGTACCCACATGACTACCTGTACCAGGAGGTCTATGTCTCCAGCTATCCTAATAAGAAAGCTATAGACATGACAGGTTTAATTGCTTCCAGTTAAGGAAAATACTTGTTATGAGCAGTGCTGCTTTAAAAAAAAGTCCTATGCTCTAGTTTCCTGAGAAAGTTGAAGGCATTTTTGGTTGAGTGAGTGAGTGAGTGAGTGAGTGAGTGAGTGAGTGAGTGAGTGAGTGAGTGTGCTGTTTGTTGTTATATGCCGTATTGAACAATATTCCAGCTATATGACAGTGGTCTGTAAATAATTGAGTCTGGACCAGAAAATCAGGTGATAGGATACGATGACATGCATCGACCAAGTCAGTGAGCCTGACCACCCGATCCCGTTAGTCAGCTCTTACGACAAACATAGTTGCCTTTTACGGCAAGCATGGGTTGCTGAAGACCGAGTCTACCCGGGATCATGGGCAGCCATGTCAAAGAGCCTTTCCAAGGCTTCCATCCATTACAACTTGCCACCATTAGGACAAGCCAATGTGTTGGAGTGAGGTGCAATGGGGTTTAACGTTGATGCATTCCTGATTAATTCATTCATGTAGCGACATGCATGTGTTGTTGCTTTTACTTGTACTTTTTTGTGAGTAAGGGACACAATCACTCAATGACACTCAATCAGCCGAGTCACAGAGCCTGTCCATGGCTTGTAGACTAACATCTCGTCTCTGAAATGAACATATCTTACAGAAAGAAACAGTTGTTGAATTATCTTAATAAAAATAGAATAAAAAGGAGCCCAGGGACTCTTCATTTTCAGATACTGCAGTAAACTAGACTTGCCAAACATTATAGACTTGCATGGGCTGTATTGGATACATTAGTTTCAGGGTCTGTGTGAATCACAACACACTGAGGACCAACACTTCTCCAGGGTCGGGAGGGAAGGAAATGTTTCACTGGGTCTGTTATTTATAACCACCTTCCTTACCCTTTTCCGTGTGCTCCAGCTTGGTGATGAGTTTGTCCAGTGTCCCGGCGAGCTGCTTGAAGGCCAGCTTCTTGTCAATCTCCTCACCATACATCTCCTCGGCCTGAGAAGGAGGAACACTGCTTATAAGTCAACTAGTGTTGGAGGGTAACTCTTGATGATTGACCATTGAATGCATAACACTTTTTTTATGGATAGCAACTTCTTTCATTCTTTGTACGAAGTTTTAGATCTACTTTTTGCTTCATCATCACCTGATAGCTCTGAAACATTGTACAAAGAATAAAAGAAGTTGCTGTCCATAAAAAATTGTCATGTATTCATGTTCTCCCAACTTCTAAATGCCTATCAAAGACTATCATTGGTTTAAAAACAACAATTAAAGATCAATCAAGAATGAAAATAAACAAACTGTATATCCAGAAAATGAGTCACAATTGTGTGACAATCCCATATATCTTGTGACAATTTGAGTGTGGTAACTTGAAAAACAAACAGAGTCATTTGTGACATGACAAACAAGTGTCACAAAGTATTGTGACGTCAGATAGAGTGTGAGACCGCTTCCATGGTCTAGTGGTAGAGCCTCCGCCTGCAGGGCAGGAGGTCAGGGGTTTAATCCTGGACGCCTCATTCCTAAAGACGTTAAAAGATGGTACTTGTTGTTACTCTGCCTTGTGCTCGACAATAAGGGGCTAAAACAAGGACTGGTTGGCTCAGAGTCAATATTATGTGTCTGAGTACGGTATTCATGTTAAACTGCGGCATGGTATCACAGTTGGCTAGTCACAGACACACAGACACAGACACACAGACAGACACAGACACACGCACGCGCTCGCACGCACGCACGCACGCACGCACGCACGCACGCACGCACGCACGCACGCACGCACGCACGCACGCACGCACGCACGCACGCACGCACGCACGCACGCACGCACGCACGCACGCACGCACACACACACACACACACACACACACACACACACACACACACACACACACACACGTACATGCATGTCACCATATAAGTACACTAATCAAGAATGCAACGTTAAACCCCATTTCAACTCACCACACCTCACTACTTAGGTCAGGTCTTTTGGTATGACGCGGTCAGGGGAACTAACAACCGACCTTCTGCCTGCCAGGTATCCACCATCATATAGCTGGAATATTGTTGAGTGCGCCGTTAAACAACAAACAAACTCTCCAGGCCAAACGCTCTTTCCACCTAGCTTGTCAGATCTACATGTCAGATGTAACATAAAGGAAATCCCTTAACACTATGGTTCATCCTAATATTGGCACTCGTCTCAATCTCGTTAAAATCAGATCTTTCCCCCAGCCTTACCAAACAAAACCCACTAAAGAACACAAATATATCTTCGATAGTAAACCCTTCTGGGTGTATTATGGCTCTGAGAAATGACAGGATGAATAAAATATCCACAACAATATAATGATGTTACCTTATCTTTTTGCATTTGGAACTCCCTGATTTTATTCATTTTCGAGGAAGAGAATCAGATGTGCATGTCTAAATGCTTCGCTCACTCAACACTGATTGGCTGATCATAAAGTTCACCTGACCCAACCTCCTATGGAGATGTCATAAGATCTTCACATAGAGAGGTACCTAAGTGGAGTAAAAGATCTGATTTCAATGAGACTGCTCTGGACTCAAAGTACAGGAAAGTAGAGATATTTCTGACGGTCCTCTTACTTCAATGAGGTTTCACTCTTAGCTGAAGTCAACCAAATGATCTTAATAGTGTCCCACCTCATCAATTATTTCATCAAACTGCAGCTTCACGGAGTCCCGCACTTTGTTTTTCATGTTGGCAAACTTGTTCCTCTTGTTTCTATAAGCTGTCTTCAAATTACCAAGTTCTGAAAAAATCAACATGGTCGATGACTTACAGGTATCATTAGCAGAGTGTACAAGATTTTAAGAGCTGAATGAGAGAGTACGTAAGACGGAAGGCGAACAAAATGTTCATACATGCTGAGCTTGTAAAATCCCATATCTAAAGTTAAAGGGAGGTCACTGCAATGTATGTTCAACCATGGTATGAAATGTGGCCATTACACTAATTTTAATAACAGGTGAGTGAGTAACGTTTTACACCGCTTTTAGCAATATTCCAGCAATATCACGGCAGGGGACACCAGAAATGGGTCACACATTGTACCCGGGTCTTCGTCATGACGGGCAAACGGTTTAACCACTAGGCTACCTGACCGCCACTTTTATTAACGGATCTTCATTATGTAAGGCAATACCTTTATCAAATTCATCCATAAGTTCTTCTTCCTCTGCATCCACAGTGACATCTTCGTCTTCAGCCACATCTTCAGGTGGACCATCCTCAACAGGATGGCTAAAACAAAATAAACAAAACATGTAAGTATATGGTAATAAATGCACAACAATTACACTAATTTTAGAGAAATAACAAAATGACAAATACTTTTATTCCCCCAATACATATACATATCTGTCAAGTAATGTTATCAAGACATTGCTGGCTTTTCTTTCAAAGCAATAGAACCACAGCATAATGATGAAAGTATGACATTAATCATCTGGATGACTTCCAAGATAAGGAAAATGATTTTATGGCTGCTTCAGTTTTCTCATTGACTATTCAGATCATATTTCCCCCTAAAAATCCCCACTTGGATCAAATAGCGTTTACGACAATGTTATCAATATTCCAGCAATGTCATGAGAGAACTCCACATAATGTACAGCACAGCCACGGTGATTGAATTAATTAGTATCAAGCGCTTCACTGAGTACTGCTGACCGCACCTGTCTCGCGTACACGTTACGTCTGCGACTGATGTATATCCATAGAAAATCAACCTGGGACTTTCTTGCAACAATCCAAAGCTTTAACAATGGGGCAACCTTCCCACCCAATGTATCGACATTAATGGCTATTAAACCATGGCTCCTTTGTCTTTGACTGTGGTCTGACCAACTGAATTGTTGGTTAAACACCACTTGGCAATGTCGGAACTTCTTTTTTTTGTATCATTTATTTTGATGATAGTACAATTTCATGAAAAACATTTGTCGCCAGCGGGATTCAAACCCGCGAAATTCGCACGGGAGGCTAACAAATGTAGACTTCTGCCACGGCGACATGGGAGAAATAATATGAAATTAACAACATAATATTTATGTACATCAGTACTAATTGCCAATCCGTTTATGAACTGTGAAATATGTTTTATGCAATTTTTATACAGTATGTTGCTCTGTGCATTCTAGTATTTGTACAGTACATGTGATTTGGTACCTTTTCATTCAACAAAATGAACAGACAGAAAAGAAATAACTATCATCTTGATCAGGGATATGTTTGCTTATAATAGGCCCATCAACATGGGCAAGTAATATTTAGGTGATTGATAAATGTGCTCGAGTTGGTCCAAAATGAATGGTATACTGGCCCCGGGACATGCATTTCATAATCCAAATCGGCAAAGTACAAGGTGAACGTGCGAAAGGCTTGGGGAACACATTTCACGTGCATTACGCAGGGCCGACTTACACAGTGTTTGCACAGTTGAGCATAGAGTTCCTGAATACATTCATAAAACAATGTTTTTAAAGCATTTTAGGTGCTATAAATGTTGGACAAGGCTTAAGTATGTTAGACCACTTGGACCCCAGTGTTTAATTGTTGAAATGGTTGATTAAACAACTCAGCGCTGTGCACCTCGTGGTTTAATTAACCATTTCAACGATTAGAAACTAGGTCCTCTTGGTCTAACCTATACTTTGACTCAAAGAGATCCAAAGTAGAATAGCTCTTCAGCAACCCATGCTTGCCGTACAAGGCAACTATGCTTGTTGTAAGAGGCGACTAACATGATCGGGTGGTCAGGCTCACTGAGGTCAATCACTGGATTGTATGGCCCTGACTTGAGTATTTACAGACCGCCGTCTTATAGCTTGAATATTGCTGAATGCGGTTTTAAACAACAAACAAACAAGCAAACAATGGCTACTTGAGTCGGTGTGAGGTTGATGTGTGTGAAGTCCTGCCACATTGTTCCAAGGCGGTGACATTCAAAACATAGTAAGTGAAGCCAGACTTTCATTAGGTCCCATGGAGTGTTCTCTAACTGTCAGTATAGCTAAAATGGAAAGAACTACCATTAAACTGCCTGCATGTTATCAGAAATGAGCGGGCCACTGTAACTTGATAATGCCCTCAGATTGCTTGACGACAGGCCATTATCACGCCTGTTGTTAGGTGACGTCATAGGGATAGGGATAGGTGATGTCACGTTCAATAGTGACGTCATCTGGTTTGTTTTATGACGTTTCTATATTTGTAAAAATTGGTCAGTGTCGATTGCAGTAACTGTTTCAAAAACGATATTGTTGATTCTTTTTATTAGATAACAAATTCCATCCATTTTAGCTGTAATAACAGTAACACTATTTTTCAGGGCATTATCATTTGCAGAAGCCCTCGGTCTTTTCAACTTCCCTCCTTCGTCGGGCAGTTAATTGAAGACCTCAGGCTTCTGCAAATGATAATGCCCTGAAAAATAGCGTTACCTTTATAGTATCATCATTCTCAAACAATGGGAATTTGAGGGTATACGAGGTTCGCTACAACAGTATTGAGCCAAAGATCCCTTGAAGTATTAAATAATTAGTATCAGGGTCATGACAACTCAAACATAACATTATTTACCCTTATCAAGGTTAAACTTGAACATGAATGGCGTATGTATGAACAACGCTTGTGCAACACTTACGTTTCATGTTTTAAATCTTCCTCAACGCCATGATCTGGATCCAAATCCAGATCTGAGGGTCCATCTCTTGGGGTTGCTGCTTCACTGGCCGGCCCAGAATCCATTGCTCCTTCGTCACCTTCCTGTCCAAAAGTATCCTTGATGAAGTTGTCGATATCTTTTGGATTTCTTACAACTTTGAATGACAGCTTGACATCAATAGGTTTATCTGGAAGAGTGTTTGTATGTTTGATCATCAACAGAGAATACCTAGTCACTTTGATGCCTGCAGTTACCGTATTCGACGTAACAAGCGTCCCGCTGTAATAAGCGCCCACGGCAATATTTGCTAATCAACCCCAATTAGCACCCTTTCCGATTGATCAATGTACACAAGACTTATTTATTCGCATATAATACGCACTCGTGTGCTATATGCACCCTTAATTAAGGGCAATTAAATTCTGGAAAAATATATCTCTCGTATATAAACATTTCAGGCTGTCAGCATAAACCACAAAATTTATCTTTCAACTCTGTTTTTTTTCGACAAAACCATATTCTAATAAGAGCCCCCTATTTCTAATTTTAAGTGCACCCTGGGCGCTTATTACGTCGAATACGGTCTATGCGGCCTGGTAAAGTAATTGGTTCAAAGGCAGCCTGAAAGCATGGAGAGTATTGTACTGAACTCATGCCAACTGTTGAGGGTGTACTACCAACCTTCATACCTTTCAGTCACCCCTCATATTTAAGAAATAATAGACGTGTGGGTGTCGTTTATTCTCCCTGTGGTGTTTTATTGTATGATAAACGACCATGAGTTGTTTCTTTCTTATATTTACAGCCTCTTTAACTTAAGGATGATGATAAAATGTACAAGCTTTAAAAATAATTACGCATATTTTAATAATTATGACACCCTCAATAGAATTGCACCTCGGAAATGTCCATTTTATGCACAGGTGGGCATTTCCTGCATAACTCACATGTCGATTACCTGTACTCTTTCTCCCAATACCAAGTGTCATATCTCTCTTATCTGCTTTGCTCAGCTACATCAATGGGGAACAACTCACTGGACACTCCCCTCTCAAAATAACGTTGTCCGATGTGAGCGCATGTTCGAGCGCATGTTCGAATCTCCAGACATGACATCATGGTAAGAACAATGTTTTATCGTGAAATAAACCACACTTTGTTCTTCACTGTTCTCTGCGATTTATCGCGTAGCTATCTTATACATCCTGATACACAGATATAACCTGCACCAGTAATAGATACACATTCTCACAACCTGTCTCATTAACCTCCCTCACCTGTTGACTGGCCTGCTAAATTTTTCATTTCATTGCTGAGTGTTTTCTTCATGAGCGACTCCACAGAGGGTCCAAATATACTGTCCATATCCGTGGTCTCCTCGTCGATGACAGGCTCGGCCGGGTCTGGAACATGGTGAAACACTTACTAAGAGGTTCAACTCAACGGCCTGTGAAACCTTTATGCCACAAAACCAGGTATCAATGCTGTGAAGCCGTGTTCATCTGGACGGTAGTGTTCTCGGTTCAATTGTCCAGATGAACCAATTTCCGGAATGGCGATTAATGAGCATGGAATAAAGTTTGTTGTTTTTTTTGTTTGTTGTTTAAAGCCACACTAAGCAACATTTCAGCCATCTTAAGCCAGCTTGTTAATAATCAAGCTGGACCAGACAATCTAATGATCGATATTGTGAGCAAAAATCCACGCTGTCAGGGTATGATGACACGCACTCAACAAGTCCCCAAGCCTGATCCCCTGATCCATTCGGTCACCTCTTATGGCCTGCACAGGTTGCTAGAGACCTATTCTAATCCAGAATACCCAATATCTTTGCTAAGTGTTGAAGTGTTTCTGCAGTGATCAACTGGACAGAGCGGCTTCTGGACTAAAGGGGTCCGGAATAAGAAGGTTTCACTGCAGTGGTTGATAATAAGCATGAAACATTACTCACTTATCAACAGTCTTTTTAACTGACAGAACCAAAAAAATAATGATAACTGACTAAAGGCCCGAAACTCCTGACTTGTAACACCCCAATCACTACCCTAAGTGATGAAGACTGTATCCTACCTGATGGTGGTGCTTCTATGCCTGTTTCTATAGACGTGGCAGTTTCTGTTGGCTCCAGTTCCGTTTTATCATCTACACTGTCAGCAACAGCTCTGGCTGCTGCTGCTGCTGTCGCAGCTTCAGCTTCCCTTGCCATCTGCGCCAACTGCTTCTTCTCCTTTTCAGCTGTCAACGGAGAGTGAGTGATGGTCAAGTGACATTATATAAAGAAAACTAACATTACAGTCAGAAGTAGGCTACTTTCTCAGTGCGACCTGTTTATTATCAAGTCTTGGGTGGGCAACCAGTAGTCATCAGGATAACATGACAGGTCAAACAACTAGCTTTAAGTAATTTAAACAAGCACCTGTCATCCTTTCATGTGGGATGTGACAACTGTGACTGCACCATGGACAACCTCTTCAACTTGACTTGTTAGGTGTGTGTGTGTATGTGTGTGTGTGTGTGTGTGTTTGCTTTTCCGCTCTCCAGGCAAACCCTCTATCTACTAGACCCTGGAGGCAGTCGACTTGAGATTGTAGTTGCACCAATTTGGAGATGCACAAATGGTGCATCTCCAGTCTCAACCATGGGGTTCTGCAATGTTTGTGTTTTTTTCTTCTCAGCTCAACAATATTCCAGCTACCAGTATGTGATGGTGGCTAGTTAATAACCTTGTCGTTACCAGACAACCAAGTGACAGATATTATGAGCAACGTTGGGGTGCAATGACAAACAATCAACCAAGTCACCAAGCATGACTACACGATCCATAAAGTCGCCCCTTACAACAAGCAAAAGACCTATTCTAACCCGAATCTTCACGGGTCAGATTGCTGGGGACCCCTTTTACTAAGAAGAAGATGAAGAAAAATTGAAGAGGGACGATTGTAAAAAGAGAAACCCAAATTGATTCCCTTGTAGTAAGCACTATTAGAAAGAGAATGAGTTGGCTGAGTGAAATCACGTGGTCAGCGTGTGAAGGTCGATTGGCATGAAAAGCTTGCATGACCAAGATTGATGAGAGGTGACCATGGTGATGCTAGGTGTGTTCAGGTGAAGTGTTTTTTAGAAGCTGGAAACCTTTGTTTAGGCACATTTCCACTTGGGATTGAAAGAAGATGAGAAATGCACAGTGTGAGATACGATACGTTTAAAAATTGAAGGGGGATCCTAGGTCCTTAAAAATTATTTTATTTTGGGACCCCTTGAATCTATAATGATTAACTTTAGGGCTAATTTGACATTGACCACATGATACTTATGCTTAATTTTGAACACTGACTGTGTAATCGAGATGTAGACTGGCTTGGAACAGAGTCAAGCTCCACCTCAAATTACATAAGGGTTTAGGAACACTTTAGAAGACACAGCTTGATCTTCTCACGTTTAAGCCGTCCAAGCACTACCAACAGCAACTTACTAAGCAGCCATTTTAACTAAGTGTGATGATTGTTGTGCATACTATTGACAATCAATCAGCGTTTATGTATTCCTATCGATATAGTACAATCGGAGGGCAAATAATTTCTGGTAGTGTAAGGAAACAGCGATACAGTATTGTATTGTCATACAAGGCAAATGATACAATACATCGATTTACGAGCCCTGTCAGCATTAGAAATTGGCACTAGTCCTGTAGTCCCTTACCAAACTGCCCAATGGTAAAGGTATCCTAAGGACTAGTAGACATTGGCCCATTTTAAGGGTTTTGCTATATGTTATCATTATAAGGACTAGTGGACAAAAACTGTTAGTTTCTAACCCTGCCTGTATCGTGATACATACGATACATTTCATTACAAGTTATATTGGTGTAAAAACATGTGAATAATAACAGAAACTGTTCCACCACCACCTTATGCATATTCTCTAGTATTTTATGGTTGGCTATAAATAGCTTAACATTAACAGTGCACTCTAACAATATATTTCTGCCCTACAATATCCCATCCTTGATCTCTGAAAATAATAACAAATGATAGGGTTGTGATTCACCTGCAAAAAGAAAGAATATCAACTTGTGAAATAAGTACTGAATCAGGATTCGAATCGTATCGCATCCATAGTATCGTGATACATATCATATGGCGCCCCCACCGTAACATTACACCTCTAATAAATACATCGCTACTCTCGTGACACCCAAGACACAGAGCCTAATCAGCTGATCAAGCTGATGCCAATATTAAAGCATGGAAGAGCTGGGGACATGTTCTAATCTGAAATCAACACCATGTCATATATTCTTGTAAATAAATAGCTAGTGTAACCTTGTTTTTGTATCTGGATCTTAACAATATGTTACATGGAAATTGTTCCTATCACTGTTGTATTGTTGCAGGTGTTACCATGGTTACCTTCTGCGTCTGCGAGATATTCCCGATACTGTTCCTCGGATACCACAGGATTACAGGTGATAGGGACTGGATTCTTGGGGGTGGGGGGCTTGAGGTAGGGGTGGTTGCAGATGTGAGACGTGTATATGGTGACGATGTATACACATGTCTCCGGCTCATCTATACGGGCAATGTAGTCGCTTGTTCCTTCCTCACAGAAAAACTAAAGACATAAAATCCAAACAGTTTGTTTATATGACATTGTGTATTCATTTTGTATTCATTGTATATTCCAACAGTGTGTTCCCATTTCGCTTCAGCAATAGTCTGAAATCATTATCCATTAGATTTTCTTTCTAGTAAGCCAGATATTTAAGTTGGAATCAAAACTAAGTGCCCTTGGGAGGCAAATTGGAATAAATCACATTTTTTCAAAACTGGGAATAGTTTTAATGTGTAAAGTTTCTTAAATTAGGAAATATCTTAAAATTGCATTCAACATGTTCAGTGCAATAGTGTTAACAAAGCATTACATGATTAATGTCTTGTCAACCTCTCTAATAGTCAGTGAACTACCAGGCACCACAACTTTGGGAATTTTAGTTTGTACTGTCAATGCCTGCAACATGGTGTCGAATATCGGCCTATGATAAATCCATGAAAGCCAGGCTTTGATCTTTACACTCGCCCATTAGCCTGAGGTGACACAAATTTAACACAGGCTAATAAAACACAAAATGTACTTGTCAATCAGGCTACCGCATTTTAAAATGCTCTTGTCAATCACATATAATTTTAGAGTCTCACAATGAAAATCCCAATAAAAAGTCTAAAGTCAGTGATCTTCTGGGCGTGGCCATTTGCAAGATGCACAGTGAGGTGAGGTGAAATGGGGTTTAAAGTGGTGTACAACGTGTTTGTGTGGCTGCTTGTACTAGTCCGGACTGATGCCGATTTATAGTGCTAGCTCACTGAGATACCATGCCGCAGTTTAACATGAATACCCCACTCAGACACAGTATACTGACTCCGAGCCTACCAGTCCTTGTTTTAGCCCCTTAATGCCAAGCGCCAGACAGGGTAACAACAAGTACCATCTTTTAACGTCTTTTGGTATGACGAGGTCGGAGATCGAACCCCGGACCTACCGCTCTCCGGGCGGACGCTCTACCACTAGACCATGAGGGCGGTCTAGATGCACAGTGAATCAGTACTTGGTCATGTGAGAGGGAGTGATCTACCGTACATATTGAAATGGCCACACTTAATATGTTTCGCTATCTGACCATGCTGACAGCTGAATCATTTGGCAACCTCAAAAGAAAATGAATGAATGAATATTGCTTTATGCTGTATCAGCGAATCACAAGAAAAAAACACCACCAGAACGTAAAGAAAGAGCGAAACAATACGATTTTAGCAAATGGGTTGCAAACCCGGATCCAGAATGTTATGCTACTGTAGCCCTGATTCCACATGAGGCTGTTGAACGAACTTGTCCCTTGAAACACTGAATTACGATACATTTTAATGAATTGTTTGATAAAACATTTTTCTTGGACTAGTTGTTTTCATTGCAGACTAGTGGTTAAGTGCTACTAGCCTGAAAGACTTTGTTCAAAATAGGCCTCTGTTCACCCAGCAGTGAATGGGTACCTGGCAGGAGGAGATGGTAATTTGACAGTTAACCTTCAATCACCCCAGGCAGCTTGGGAGCTCAGAATGAAAATCAAGTGCACACTGATACCCTGACCAGGGTAATAATAATGTAAAACTCATCATCATCATTAGTGAGTGAGTGAGTTGGGTTTAATGCCGCTTTTTTACAGTGTTCCAGTTATATCGCTGCGTGTCAGCTTTATGTGGGAGGAAAGCCCGAAGTGATGCATGTCTCAGACGTTTACCACTTCGGTGAAACCCACAAGCACAGGTATGGTGCTGACAAACCTAGAAACATAATCGGGGCCAACCGGGATTCGAACCCACAATCATAGGTTCCTGCTTTGCCCAAGGGACGCAACTCCGCACAGCGAATCGCGGCATCTTAGACGACTGGGCCACCCATGCCCCCAATCATCATCATTCAAACTTTTCAATAGGAAAACGGTGGCGGTCGGGTAACCTAGTGGTTAAAGCGTTTGCTCGTCATGCCGAAGACCCGGGTTCGATTCCCGACATGGGTACAATGTGTGAAGCCCATTTCTGGTGTCCCCCGCCGTGATGTTGCTGGAATATTGCTAAAAGCAGCGTAAAACCAAAACTCACCCAATAGGAAAACAAAAGGTATGTAACTATGACGAGAATAAGTTGCTTCAACTAACCCTGACTTCGGCTCTGCGGCCTGCCTCCGTGAGATCACACTTGGTGCCATTAGTATAGTTCTGACTGTGGTACTTGCTATGGATAGTCCTGCTCCTGAGGCGCTGGTCCTGGAAATACATGCAGATCATTCTGTCACTAAAATACTGAAACCATGACCATCTGCTGGATTTATATCAACATGTTTCAGCTAAATGTGGACACAAAACCCACCCACGAAGATCTGTGTTTGAATAGGTATCCAGCAACCCATGCTTGTCGTAAGAGACGAATAACGTGATCGGATGGTCAAGCTTGCTGACTTGGTTGATGCATGTCATCATATCCCAATTGCGTGGATCAATGCTCATGATATCAATCACTGGATTGTTTGGTCCAGACCGCCTTCATAAAGTTGGAAATTAGCTGAGTGCGATGTTAAACAACAAACAAACAAAAAGAGAGCCTCAAGTAAAACAGACTGTTGTAGCTAATAACTATGGTAAAAACAAACTTACAGTGCGGACAAATCAAAGTCAAGTCCTGCGAGTACCCAGGTCCTACTTAGAATCCACCAGACCCGAGTTACCCGTCCTATCCCAACCGCAACCAGCAGATCCTTGCATGACTAAGGGATGCAACTCTGCTCAATTAGTTGCAGCATTCAAGACCACTAGGCATGCATCTTACAGCAACAACCCTATTTATATATTTCTCAACATATTTAAATCATAATTGTAAAAGATTCTTTACAATACCTTTAAAGTGTCATTGTCCCAATCAAAATCTGATTCATAATGGCCAAGATAAATGACTTCTCCTTTGACATTCCCATCTGAAACAGTGAGTGAAGTGAGTGAGTGAGTGAGTGAGTGAGTGAGTGAGTGAGTGAGTGAGTGAGTGAGTGAGTGAGAGTGAGTGAGTGAGTTGGGCTAATGCTGCTTTGAACAGTATTCCAGTTATAACACTGCATGTCAGCTTAATGTGGGAGGAAAGCCGAAGTGATGCAGATCTCAGCTGTTTACCACTTTGGTGAAACCCACGAGCACTGGTAAGACATAGAAACATAAACAGGGGGAACAGGGATTCGGACAAACAATCACAGGTTCCTGGTATGCCAAGGGGATGCAACTCTTCACAGCGACCACAAACAGAAGAAGCACTGCAGGTAACAATGTGATGTTACCACAGTATTAAGCCTTGAATACCAAAACAAACCACAGATATTATTACCTGAGAGTATTTTTGTATCCTAAATATTGTACATAATGACTGGCAATTGCACTATGCAAGCCTTTAGTGAGTATAAATTTTAATACATAATCTACATTCCTAATATAGTTATGATATGGAAGCACAGGAGGGTATTAATCTATTATATAAAGTCATTCTTAAAATAATCAAAGCTACCATGTTTACTGTAGTAACTTTCAAGCAGGAATGCCACCATGGTAAAGCCTGAGTGAACCACCCTATTTATGATAAAGCTCCAAATTATTTGAAGTCATGTCCTGTTACATCAACACCTTTCAAGTACTGTCTGTACATAAATTTGAATTAAATCGACATTGAATACAAAACCATTCCTTAAACAGTCTTTCTGTATGAAAAACCTTGTGCAGGGATTAATCCCCTGGCTGGTAAATTAGTGGAAAAATCGTGGGATTTTTCTTGAGTTCCATATTATTAATTTCAGAAGTATTTTAACATTGTATTTTGAGATTGCTTTCAGTGTAAGAATATACAACTAAGCATTAAACCCTCTTCCCATCTATTGATCCTGTTATCAGTGAAAAAGCACCCTGCTCTAATAAGCGCCCACGTCGATATTTGCTAATATATTGGCTAGTGAACAATCCCAATGTACACAAGACTTATTTACTCTCATATAATATACACTCGTGTGTTATATGCACCCTTAATTATCATGATTATGGGGAATTAAATTCTGGAAAAATATATCTGTTGTATATAAACATTTCAGGGTGTAAGCATAAACCACGAAATTTACAATCTTACAACTGTTATTTTCACCAAAATACTATTCTAATAAGAGCCCTCTATTTCTAATTTTGAGAGCGCCCGGGGTGCTTATTACATCGAATATGGTGTTTCTAAAAAGCCATAGCATAAGTTATAAGTTACATATATCAACATGATTTGGGACATTATCAATTCTGATTTTTGTTATTTATAAAGTGAGTGAGTGAGTGAGTTCAATTTAAAGTCACGTCGGCAATATTTCAGCCATAATGTGGCTTGAGCAAGTTATACAATATTTATAAAAACTGTTGACGAAGGACAGTATAATGACTAGCAATATGTCACAGATTGACTTAAAACTAGTTGTAGAACATTAAAAATATCTGATGATTGAGGTATAATATCAAAATGGGGCTATAGATCGCCAGGAACAAAGATAAAATCACCTTACTGGGGACCAAGGGGACTTACGGTACCTCTGCTACCTGCATGGTTCCCCAGCAGGATTTACACTTCCCCAAGTTACTGGTGATTATTGCGAGTTTAGCCAGAGCTTAAAAGTGTATATAAAGACATTTACTGCAGACTCTTGGCTGAATATCGGCATCTGAAGATGTCTGGATAAAATCTCTGTCAGGGCAAAACAATGATCGACAAAATGAAGACACATGCACTGTATAGGAAGTGTCATCATGACCGGTGCACGTGTACTCACCCTCTATGTGCATTTGGCGTATATATTTTCCATAGCAAAACTCATAACTCCACCAATCTTTTGTCTGCAACAGAATAAACCTTCTGTCATGTAAGTGTTTCACAAGTTACGTAATATTGCGTCAAAATATTCAAAAGAAAAGTTGGAAAATTTCACGATCGACATGATTAGTATGTATGGCAAGTATCGTCATGATAATGCTCAGGCCTAACAATGAAGGATCTGTATTCAAATCCAAACTGTCAAAATGAAAATGGTGTTTGGGAATAACTTGTTTCACTAAAGGTTCACATGGTTGACCTTAAGAGAGTGTTTTCACAAACATGTCATTTTGCAGTTCCTTAAACCTAAATAAACATTTTCGTTTATGTCTCCAAGCTAGGAAGATCAATAACTTCCCTCCAACTAAACCAAAAACCACTCGAACTTAAACAGACAGCCCTGAGAGGTGAAGTGCTTGCAGCTGTAATATCCCGGTCCCCACTGCCCCCCACCTTAAACAGACAGCCCTGTATGCTGAAGGGCTTGCAGCTGTAATATCCCAGTCCCCACTGCCCCCCACCTTAAACAGACAGCCCTGTGTGGTGAAGGGCTTGCAGCTGTAATATCCTGGTCCCCACTGCCCCCACCTTAAACAGAAAGCCCTGTGTGGTGAAGGGCTTGCAGCTGTAATATCCCAGTCCCCACTGCCCCCACCTTAAACAGACAGCCCTGTGTGGTGAAGGGCTTGCAGCTGTAATATCCCGGTCCCCACTGCCCCCACCTTAAACAGAAAGCCCTGTGTGGTGAAGGGCTTGCAGCTGTAATATCCCAGTCCCCACTGCCCCCACCTTAAACAGACAGCCCTGTGTGGTGAAGGGCTTGCAGCTGTAATATCCCGGTCCCCACTGCCCCCACCTTAAACAGACAGCCCTGTGTGGAGAAGGGCTTCAGCAGCTGCAGTATCCCCGTCTCCAGGGCCAGCTTCTCCTCCTCTTCCTTCTGTTTCTCCTGCTCCACCTGGTTGGGGAAGCTGCACTGGTACGCCTGGCCGAACTTCGAACTTAGCTGGACAACGCTGCCAGGTACTTCCTGAAACAAAGAGGTGAAAGGTCGCCATAAACATAATGAGGTGAATATATGCCATAAACATAATTGTGAAAAAGAATAGTTACAGGGGCTTGATTTCCAGTCTCTGCAAAGAGTCATGGACGACTTAGTGGAGCCTGCATATAGGATATGTGTTAAGTGTAAAGCATCTGACCTTGCTGATGTCAATGAACATGTAGAATTCAGAACCTTCAGTCGACATATTTCTTCAAGTCCCATTGGCAGCTATTTTGATTTTTTTTAAAGATAACCTTATCACTTTTTAATCAAGGCTCTTATCATGCTTATGAACATCCATTCTTCATTTTTAGGATGCAATATTTGGAGACCTGCTCCACCCTCTTGGAGGCAAGAACAGAGGGATCACTGATCCCTCTAACACAGGAGGGATAATCCAACACAGGAGTTCCAAGCTAAAAGCCCTTGGCAGGCAATTTGGGGAAAAAGATCATCAGTGAAATATAGGTCACTTCTACAAAGACATACTATATACTATACTATACAGAGTTATTACTATATAACATGAATTTGGAAATTAGTAATTCCAATTTTGGTACTACTAATTTCACACGTAGATTTCCATTTACATAATTCCCAGTCCTGATTAGTCTATCTTACAGACCCTGATACAAATATATATCAAATACAGCAAGTCTATAATGTTTGGCAAGTCTAGATCACTGCAGTATCTGAAAATGAAGAGAGTCACTGGGCTCCTTTTTATTATATTTTTATTAAGATAACTGAACAACTGTTTTTTTATGTACGATATGTTCATTTCAGAGACTAGATGTTAGTCTAAGTCCAGATGTGAAACAGCATTGTGATAAACGTTCACTGGTTACTGGATCTCAAGAACTTGTCTCTTCTCCCTCTCAAGGGCATGGCCTAGGTTTCGATACTTCTTCTTCTTGGGTGGCATCAAACTACCTGGATTGTGATTGCAGTATTATCCAGCTAAACCTGCAGTATCTCAATGAATTTGAACATATTTTGATGTCACCCCTCGATCTGATCTGTGACATCGTCCCACTGCTCAGAGACATATAACTGTGCTTCGTGACAAAATCATCTGTGTGTTAATGATGGTTGGACATCCTCTTTGGGAACATGTCTGATGAATGGAAGTTTGACATCTGGTCTAATTGTGAACTTGCAGCCGACAAAAAACAAGTGCCGATCCCTCTTAGAATTGGGAATAAACTGTAAATCAACCTGCACATTTCACAGTGAAATACTGTTTCTTGCCTGTAATTTCTTTTATTGCCCAAATCGTCCTTAACGATTAATATGTTCACTCACTCATTGATATATATTTTAAACGTTTTTGAACTCAGTGTATGTGAATGGTGTTCACCAGTTAGTTGTGTTGTTCTAATTTGTGAGATATTCACCATTTACTTTTCTTATGTGAGATGTCCCCTATTATCTTACTCATCACCGTGCTCGGGTGAATTTGTACCTATAACAATATAGGTGCGGGACAAGTTGTCATTAAAGTAGTGCTTTTCATGTACATGATGTACTTATTTTAAACTTGTAACATTCTTTCTACTCTTTTACAAATTATTTTGTGGTTTCAGAAGATTTTCTGGTTTAATTAACTTTTTCTACAATTTTTTCCTTTGTGCTGTCTTTGCACTTGTCTGGAAAAATCACTAAAGTCTGGCATCATCATACTTTGCGGCAGGTAGAATCATATCCTGTTTTTGTCCGATTTGGGCCTTTATACACAACTTTTCCCTATACTGCAAACAGATGAAATTCTCTCCCTTGACAAGCTGAGCAAGATAATGAACTTTTATTGCTAAGATATGCATAGTTAGATAAATGATTGACATCTTATATAGCGGACATGAATAATCATAAAGCTTAGTGAGCATGTTTTATTCTGTTTATAATAGATAACAAGTACCACTATGTAACATATGACACATAACAAAACTATTTCTCTTTCTGTACATTATGAACATGATGAAAGATACAGTCTTTGGCTTTAATCTGATATTTCACTGGTCTGTTTGATTTAACTGTGGTCCGCTTTGACCAACCAAATGACCATTATGATCAAATCAGCTGATTCATTTTGGCTCTGGTCAGTTTTTACTGGTACCCACTGGTTATCATCTTGTTTGTTTGATTGCTTTTTGCTTACTGCCTCACTCAGCAATATTCCACCTTCATACGGCGAACCAAATATCCCTGTTATGGGTTTTCGGATACTTAAGAAACATTCATAGTTTTCTCTCTAATCACAACTTAACAACTGTAAAACACCTCATTTACTTATAGAAGACAACTTTCTCTTACAAACAAGCCATCATCTGAGCATGCTGAGTATTCACTGACTGACTGAGTATGGTTTTACGCCGCTTTTAGAAATATTACAGCAATATCAAGGCGGGGGACACCAGAAACTGGCTTCACACATGTACCCATGTCAGGCATGACAAGCGAAACTTTAACTACTATAGCTAGCCAACTAGCCTCTGAGTATTCACAATGTCTGTTAGATGCTACACCCCCATTTATAGCAAGAGTAATCGTGATAAACATGGCTTCCAGAAATGTATGATGTCTGGAAACCTTTGATCCGACGATAATCAAGTCTTGACCAGACAATCCAGTGATTGACATCATGAGCATGGATCTATGCAATTGGGATACGATGACATGCATCAAACAAGTCAGCAAAACTGATCAGCTGGCGATAGCAGGTCAAAAGCTGTCATCAGGGTTGTTGCTGTCATCACCTGATCATATGTCAATGATTTAAATGATTAACATTTACGCTGGTGACAATGACAGTAGCCCTCAAGGACAGTATGCCAACGTGTCCTTATGACAGATGAATTTTGTTATTTTCATTAATAGGTAGAATTATTAATGATAAATGATATTACATCTCGTTACGAATTCGCCATAGCATCATAATTTACATACCTGTCCCATTTTCACGGGTTCGTTGACAATATCTATACCATAATGAGTAGATTTTAATTCCTCAAAATCAAGGAATGACTTCGACTGCGCTAGAAACAGCACCAGGAGGCAACATACACGCAAAAGCCTGTTTGTTTTGGTCGCCATTTTGAAGCACCTGTAAATTACGATTTCAAAACATGGACGGGAAACATGATTCGAAATAACAATTCCGACTTACGAAGGCATTGAAAAAAATAACCGAACCAGGTGATAATTGAACTTATTTGAACTTATTTGAACTGGTGCCAGAATAGTTTTTTAGCGAAACACATTTCATAATCGTTTCCTGTAGAATCGTGTTTGTTTATGTAACTTAATAAGACTGTCTCTAGTGGAGGCATTTGCATCACTTCAACAAAAAATAACGTAATGATTATTTTCAGAACAACAATAAATTGTAATATTGGGTTAAAAAACAGATGAAGCAAGGAAATAGGTTTCCTTCATTCAATTTAATTGAAAAAGAATTTCCTTAATTTAAGTTAACATGCGGTTATTGCTTGTTGGAACTGTATTTGATTAAAGCATGTTTTGTTTGTTCCGACCATATCATATCATGAGCATATGTTTATGAATCACTATTTAAAAGGTGAGGTGGCACCCATCACAAACACATGCAAAGGCAAGTAAAATGTTCACCTAATAATACGCGAACATATTGTACAAGTCGAAAACTGGAATTGCATCGGACATAATTTTTGTCACTGATGCGTCACATTTGGAAATGTCCTCCACATGTCTATTATCACATATTCTGAAAGTTTTACTGTTTGTTTGTTGTTTAATGCCGTACTGAGCAATATTCCAGCAATATGACGGCGGTCTGTAAATAATCGAGTCTGGACCAGACAATCCAGTGATTTTTTACATCAAGAGCATTCATTTACACAATTGGGTTGATTGGTTGGTTGTTTAACGCCGCTATCAGCAATATTCCAGCTATGTGACGGCGGTCTGTAAATATACGAGTCTGGACCAGACATTTCAGTGATTTATATCACGAGCATCGACCCACGCAATTGGGATCGATGACATGCATCAACCGAGTCAGCGAGCCTGACCACCCGATCCCGTAAGTCGCCTCTTACGACAAGCATAGTCGCCTTTTACGGCAAGCATGGGTTGCTGAAGACCTATTCTACCCCGGAATCTTCACGGGTCGAAAGCTTTACTGAGGCTTTGAATGTTGTAACCCTGATCAAACAACTGTTGGGCAAGAGTCGTATGATAGTTTGCTATCTTTATTTGTAATCTTAGGATAAAAGCAACAGATAGAGGAAGCAATTTGACACAAATTCGCATGGGAATGAGTGGCTGCGAAACTATTTCCAAGTCTTTATGTTTTCATTACTTTGGTGGACGTTAAAGTATATATTGTACGAGCGCTTCAATAAATAAAAGCGTGTTGCCGAGGACTAGGAAATCCATGATTCGTTTGTATTCCGGTACACAATTTGTATCAACTTAGTCTACCTCAGCATTACAATGTATGATGGGAAGATTCAGTGATTCCCCGGCGGGCGATTTGATGAGGATAGCCGGTGAGAGGAATGTGTAAGTGCAATAAAATCGAAACAGTCAGATACAAAATCACACTTCCAAGTAAAAAATGAGATTGACGTACAAAACGGATGGATAAATAGTGTTGTCATTGCTAATTAACGTCGTGTTCTGGTCGTTCATACCATGACATATTCTCGACATATGACATTCACTCAGAAACATGTCGCACAAAAGTACTGACTGGGCAGAATCATGTTCCCTAACCTGAAGAGATTGTTGAATGATGACAGATACGGTAAATTTCATTTTCTCCCAGTGACACATAAAAGCTTGATGCTATATTTGTGAAATATTTTAGTCAATTATATAGATCTATCTATTTTATGAGTGTATCTTTTTCTTTGTAAATTCATAATACCAATAAGTGTACTGGCTAGCAAGCAGTTATTGCCAAGGACCAATTATCCCAACTCCACGTTATAGCACACATGTGATCGCATCTCATTTTACTTTTGCTTGTTTTCATTAGAATAAAGAAATATTTATGCCATAATGATGAACAAAACGGAGTCTTGTGAGGAAATATTTGTATAAAACCACCATAATCACCTTGCTCAAATACAACTTTAGAAAAGATATGCAGGCGGTGTCACGTGACAAATTAACGCAAAAATATGAATCAAACAACACGATGATGCACCTTCAGTTCTGTCATTGCTTGCTCTCTGTCTGTCATTTCTTCCCAAAAATACAATTCTGAAACCTATTTGAGCTATATTTCCAAAAATGCATAACCAGTCGACCATATTCGACGTAATAAGCGCCCAGGGCGCTCTCAAAATTAGAAATAGGGGGCTCTTATTAGAATATTATTTTGGTGGAAAAAACAGAGTTGGAAGATAAATTTCGTGGTTTATGCTGATGGTCTGAACTGTTTATATACGACAGATATATTTTTCCAGAATTTTATTGCCCATAATTAAGGGTGCATATAACACACATGTGCGTATTATACATGAATATATAAATCTTGTGTACATTGATCGATTGGAAGGGATGCTAATTGGGATTGTTCACTTATAAATATTATAATATATATTATCAAATATCGCCGTGGTCACTTATTAGAGCGGGGCGTTTATTACGTTGAATACAGTATATTGCAAAATCCATAGTATATATGTTAAGGATGAGAATGTGTAGATCAAACTTGGGGAATATTGGTTTATGTCAGTTTGCAGACGACAAATTGATAATAGCATATTTTATTCATTTTGATGAATAAAAAACTTGAGTGTGATACAAGAGATACTAAAATGTATTTTGTATAACTGAAGTGTCTTTGATATTTTGAGGTAACAGAACATACCATAACACCAGACCCCTTCACTCACTCATCACTGTCAAATGGGATATGATGCAATTTAGATATAAACATACGTGCAATTTAATATTTGCTAAGTTGGCAATTTAATACACTTCTTTAAATTGTCCTATCCTGATGGGGCACGGGTGGCCCAGTCATCTAAGGCGCCTTGATTCGTTGTGCAGTGTTATGTTCCTTGGACCCGCCAGAAACCTATGATTGTGGGTTCGAATCCCGGTTTGCCCCGATTATGTTTCTAGGTTTGTCAGCACCATACCTGTGCTCGTGGGTTTCACCAAAGTGGTTAACGTCTGAGACCTGCATCACTTCAGGCTTTTCTCCCACATTAAGCTGACACGCCGTGATATAACTGGAATACTGTTAAAAGTGGCGACCCATCTCACTCACTTAATCTTATCCTGACCCGAACCTCCTTTGGTTGTGATGTAGACAATGCATCCATTGTAATCTAAGTCATGATAAGAGACCCCTGTGGGTTTTTCTTAACAAATTGTATGACACATTTGAATGTAACAGTGAAAGTGTTGCTGATGCTTATAACAGGAAAAAAACATCATAGTGACATATAGTCTGTCACTTTGAACCATTTCTATAGATCTATAGATTAGCTCAAATCTTTAATGTCATTGCCATTTCTGCTTTCCCCATTGTGATATTGCTGGAATATTGCTAAAAAGAGCATCGTACCATACTCACTATTTCTTCATGATTTTACCGCGGGCACGGGTGGCCCAGTCGTCTAAGGTGCCGTGACTCGCCGTGGAGAGTTGCGTCCCTTGGGTACACCCACCGATTGTGGGTTTGAATCCCGAATTGGGGGCATGGGTGGCCCAGTCGTCTAAGGCACTGCTATTCGCTGTGCAGAGTTGCGTCCCTTGGGCACGCCAGAAACCTAGGATTGTGGGTTTGAATCCTGGTTCACCCCGATTATGTTTCTAGGTTTGTCAGCACCATACCCGTTCTTCTGGGTTTCACCGAAGTGGTAAACGACTGAGACCTGCATCACTTCGGGCTTTCCTCCCACATGAAGGTGACACGCCGGGATATAACTGGAATACTGTTAAAAGCGGCGTTAAGCCCAATTCACTCACTCATAATTTTATCTTTCTTATGTACAATGTTTAGTGTATATGTTCTTGGCTCTTATCAGGATTTTAGAGTTATTATATAAACTTAGAGCTCCAGATAACTTTGAGCAATTGAGTTTTTACTCTAACGTTTCTATTTTAATTGGGTTATTACAAATTTACATTATTCATAGGGTAACCAATATTATTTCACTCATCTAGTCATCACTCTATTGGGTTTCCCCCAAAATGAGTAAGCATTTTCAGATTTAAAAAAAACTGAAATAATGTTTTAGATGTAACGGCTCTAAATACAGGCTTGACTCTTAAAGTAAATTAACTTGTAATTGTGTTTCGGAAATTAGCTCCGTTGTACGCATGCTAAAAAAGCTTCATTGGGTATTTACGCGTGCTGTTTTCAAACAGTTGAGTTTTCCATTTAATGCATGCGTTTCTGTACACAAGTTAATTGAAAGTAATTGGGTTTGGAATAGTTTTGAGGGGTATTTTACGCAATTACACTGCTTATCTGTAGCTCTGTGAACTAACTAAAGGGATGGACAGTAGCACTATAACCCCAGAGCTTGGAGCAGTTTTTTTTGTGTCAAATGTATCTAAGGGCTAGTGGAATTTCAGAGATTTTGGGAGTTATTCAATCCCTGAACTATTGTTATCAGCTGAGATTGCTTGGCCAAACAGAAATTTACTAGACTCTAGCTTCGGACAAGTTATTACAATGACCACGAAATAACAAGAACATTCCAAATAGCTGTATCTTCTTGAAAAATGTGTACTCGTTACAGTACATTTTCTAGTCTGTACACTCACACCAAGTCACACTATGTAAAGGTTGCCTTGATTATGTTTTGGGGGTTTGTCAGCACTGTAAACGTGGTCATGGGATTCACCATGTTCGCGATTAAGAGAGTTATCTGACTGTAAAAGTCCAGTTTCCACCCTTGCCAAACGAGGCTTGAATTTCTGGGTTCAAGCGTAGTGCCACCAGTGGATATTTCAAGTTATGTCCCATCTATGGCCTTCCTATTGACCAATCAGATTCCACCTCTCATATCATTTGCATTAGTCCCAAACTAAATGGTGGTGCCCAGTTAAGACGATCTGTTCGATAATCAACATCTCTTTTGTAACAAAAAAG